CTGCGAACCAGCCGTATTCGCAAGGCCTCGGCTACGGCAGCGCTCGGACTCAAACACAGACAGAACTGGTGGCCCGCAGGATGCTGAGGTATCCTCGAAGCCCCCGCGCAGCCGGTGTTATTGCTCCCAGGAAGGCTGCAGCGGGGAAGACGCGTCTGCCTGGGAGCGCTGGAGACTGGCACCAGGGGAGCTCCCTGCCGCAGAGGTAGAACAGCTCGGGGAGCAGACGCAGCCAGCCGCTTCCTGAGGAGACGCGCAGCCCGTGCCCGGGGCTCTCCTCCGTGGCATTTGAAGGAGGATGGCAGGAGCATCCAGAGCAGCACAAACAGGTCCCCACGGATATCTGCTCACCAGGGCTGTTGTGACACGGTTTTGTTTGCTGTCCTGTTTCCCAACGGAATTTTAATTCCGAAGAAAGACCCCTAACGAGAAAACGCTGACGGTGCGTGACCCCCCGGCGGCCTCGGCGCACGTCCCTCCGGTACGCCTGAGCTTCTGCCCAACAGATCCGTGACCACCCCCCAGCTCTGCTCCCCCTGCACGAGACCCCCCGGCTCTGCAGGAGAACACCCTCCGGAAACGCGTGTTCCTAGTAACTCCAGCTCCAACCACAGCTCCTGGTTACTTTATACCGGGGATCAAAGATCAGCTCCAGCGCTCAGAAGCCAAAGCAGAACCCAGCCGAAGGGGAAATACTTCTCTGCCTGCAGCAATATCAAACTGGTTTGTGCTCCTCGAGGGCGAACACGGCTGAGTTGGGCCCCGAGAGGTTGAAAACAGGTGGGATGGGCAGCGAGCCAGGCCAACCCCTCGCCAATTCCCCAGACAGACCAGAAACACAGGGATAAAGGAGGGACAAAGCCTCTTGGGGTGACATGCCAGGAGAGCGCTCCTGACGGCAGGAACTGGAGAGCTGGACACCAGTGACGCTCCTTCCAGGGAACACTGCGTTCCCGTTCCAGGGGAGCGGCGCGCCAGGTACGGAACGCATTGCCGGTCACGCCTGACCACCGCACTCCGTACCGCTTGCACAGCCTGTGCTGATCCCTCCAGCTACACCAGCGGGGCTGTTCCATTTTTATTCCCTTGCTGGTGGCAGCTTCCCATTTTGGAATCATTTACTACATGAAACGCACTGCTGAGCTGAAGGACTGCTGCTCCTGAGGAATTACTCAGTCATCAGCACGAAGGACGGCACTTCCCTGCGGAGAGCTGCCCGGCGCTGCTCTGCAGAGCTCCGGCGGGCTGTTCCGCTCTGCTTGTGGGTCCGACCAGAGAAGCCTCTTCGGGCACCCGGACAGACATTCCCATCAAAAGCCTGGAGACGCCACGCGGGTTTGGTAAAGGGGCAGAAGGCGTGGGAGAAGCGGAACCGCAGCTGCTCACATCCACGGCGCTGCTGCAGGACGGGTCAGGAGGGGACATCACCTGCTGCAGTGGAGGTTCAGTGCTATTCCTTTTCCAAACTGTTGGGATTTGGCGTGGCTGTGCCCTTCCCAAGCCCACCCAAACCACGTATGCCAGTGTAACGCGTACCGGCTGACAGCACAGGTCTGCGGGGGTGTGGGGGGATTCTTTTTTTTTTAAAGAAGTGGCAGCAGGGCAATACGCTCGTTTATGGCAGCAGTCATACAGCGAGTTGTCCAAGTCGGTTAGCTTTGAACAACTCATTATTAAACACTGACTAATTGGATTATTAAGGCACTGAACACTTGGATTTGTTGTCCCCACTTACTGCCAGTGTGTGCACTTTGTGCATTCCATACAAACAAGGAAGTTGATTAGTCGTGACGCGACAACCCGAGGACACCTGCAAAAACCACGAACTACTTTTTCAAGCCAGAAACGTCAACTGTCGCAAAGTTAAGCCATGCACTTGAAACAGCTACTCTAAATGAACACCCCCGTGGGCTCTGCTTCTCCACCACAGCATTAGGGAGAGCTGCTACGCTTGCGCTGAGCATTTTAACCTAGGTCTCAAATCTGTCGGCAGCACGTGGGATACAGGGAGACCCCCGAGCCAGGCGACCTCAGCCCAAAAGCATTAAAAATGGGAACAGGCACGGGACACGTAATGAAAAAACATAAACATATTAAAAAATAACTAATACCTTCTTTTAATGGAAGGCAGTGAACATTTTCCCACCACTTCCCTATACACACTCAGTTTCAAGGAGCTTGGATAGTGGGATTTACAGCTCCAAGCTCCGTCACGTCTCTTAACCCCGTTTTTTGGTGCGCAGCACCCAGCCACAGATCACCTCTAGCAGCTGCTCTCAGACAGTGTGGTCTTGGGAGGGGTCAGCCTAAAGGAGGAGTGAGGGATTAAGAAGTGTATTCAGGGACGTCTCCCACTGGGTTTTGTGGAGGAAACCCTACAGAGCAGTTGCGGGACGGCGCAGAGCTCAATCACCTGCGCTCTGAAACAAGAGCGTGCAGCCAGGGATAAGGCTGCGACCGAAAAGCACAAGTGAAACGCCAAGGTCAGCTGAGCCCTCAACAGCCCAGAGGAGCATCTTCCCTCTCACCATGGAAATCGGCTGGACAGCTCTCAAAGCAACCAGTCTCTGGCTGGATTTTGTCAGGTAAACAAAGGCAGCGCTGGGAAGCGACCTGGAACTGCCTCCAGCACACAGCAGCCACGTCACTACGGTTCCGCTCTCGTCTCCATGGCTCGCTCTGTTTGCGCACAGAAGGAGCAGCGCAGAGCCAGGCCAGCGCCCACACCAGGGTGTCGTCTGACAGGGGTGGTCAGCCACGCCAGGGTCCGACGCTGCAGCAGTATCACACCTCCTCTTTCGCAGCGAGACCTGCGCCAGGCACCAAGTGTCCATCCCGCCACAGTAACGACGGCGGCTGCATTCCACCCTTACAGCATGCAAACCCTCGCTGCTCAGGATCACCAAGGGCACAGAATGCTCTAGCCACAGCTAGGAATGTAGATCTGGAGGCAGCTCGCTGAGCCACAAGCCCTCCAGGCCCTTCCTGACCTTAAGTCTCTGGACAGAGTTCAAAATATTCCCGGGCAGCACGTTTGGTGCCTTCGCGCAGATCCAGCGCCTCCCTACGCCCCTCGATGGGGGCTGCTAACCCAGGAGACAGACACAGCCCGGAGGAAGCTACTGGAACAAGCCCAAAA